TGATACGATTCCTACCACTTTATTTAACCCAAATAAGATTTTAGGAAAGTTAAATTTTGACCCAAATTTGACTTGCATTCCATCATATTGCCTCGAAATATCGGGTTGTCACAACATCCATGATTTGTATCTTAATCCTAAATTTCGGGACGAAATTCCCTCTAACGGTGGGATGATGTGACAACTTGAAATTTATTCCGTCACTGTAACCCATTTCCGTTAATAAAACTCGTCTCTATCAATTTTTTCCGTTAACATTTGGATTAAGTTATTTAAATTGAGATTTTTATTATGGCTTCATGAGTGTCCAAACAAATTACAAACATGTGAAACACCCTCAATATCCCTTTGAAAAGCTTTCTAGTTTACGACCAAGTCGGGTTACGAACAATTAATCGGGTACAACCATAAGCTCCATTTAACGTCGGTATCGGGTAAATTTCCACAGGACCGCATACTCAACCCCTATATAAGGGATTGATTGGTCACATTTGAAGCTTTTTCACCCTCTTAACACCCTCTCTCTCTCTCTCCAAGTGATTTTGATCCAAAACACCTCTTTCAAGCTCCAAACTCATAAGTGATCTATCCTAGCTTGTTGTTTAGCGTATTTTGCATGCAAATCGGTGTTTAAGTCATCCAAAAACCTCAAAATCTTGTGTTTACGGCCCAGGAATACTCCAAAACTGTAAACACCCCTTCATAGGCCGTAAACACCTTTTAAGGTCTTAAATTGCCCATTAAACACCATCTATGGCTTGGGTTAATGTCTAGAATCAACCACCATCGAAGTAGGGACCTTCAACATCAAATAAACCAAGACCTTAAGAGATTACGGCCGTAAACCCCCCACGGATTGGTCCCTTGGCCGTAAACTCCCTTAAGGAGGTCAAATGGTGCCCTAACTTCCCCTATGGCTTGGATTAGTGCATAGAACCTGGTATTCTTTCATTTGAGAGCTTAAATCATGCAAGTTTGGACCAAGCACGAGTTTATGGCCATAAACCCATCTGTTTACGGAAGTAAACTCCCCAAGTGTCCTTCAAGAACAGCAAACTCCATTTCCAAGGTCATTTCAAGTCCCAATCGCTTCCTAAGCCATTGAATCAACCCTAGAACCTTCCCTTGTGCAATGTTAGACCTTTAAACATCCAAAAACACTCCACCCATGAGTTTATGGCAAGAAACTCATGGGGATATGGTCATTGGGCCGAAATCTCCGCTAAGAGTTTACTCTTTAAGAGTAAACTCCATAACTAGGTCATACACCCCTTAGATGCAACCCGTATCATCCCTAATGCTTGAGATAAAGTGTTTTCGTGCCTCAGATTGTATTATCTTACTTAATTAGTGGTTCAATGTCTAATTAGATACAATTATGTATCTCCTCATGTTACATAGGATCCTCGCGCGTGTTCAAGCCCTAAAGTGACACTTAGCATCCTACCCGGCACATTCTCGTTCTGTGAGTTCATACCCCCTACACCATTTTCAATTTTTTTTATGTTTTCATGGGGTAATGCAAGAAAAAGTACAAGGAAACATGTACTCAAAACTGATTATTTTGTATGTTAAAGTTACATGTTCAGTATGCTTTTAACACTGAAAACTGTATTAACCAACCGTTTAACTTGCAGAGTTAGTTTTCAAACTAATTGTGAAACTCATTATAAAATGTTATATTTTATATTTCACATAGGATTTCATGCCATTTATAAAACAGGATTTTCCGTATTATTACTTGTAAATTTGTTATTCTTAAGATTGGAGACACGTCCTCATTAACACTCCACAGAGATATGCGAGTGGAGGACCGCCCCTGTAACCAGAATCTCCTTGAAGGAGAGCGTAACTTGAGTGTATAGATCTATACGTGGCTGACTACCCCACGCCTTGCTGCTAGCTACAGTGGGACCGGCAGGTCTACGGGTGACAAAATTCATAAAATGATACTGGACTTCCTATTGCCATATCTAGTTTATCGTATGGTTATAGAATTCACAAACTAAGATAATGGAGATTTACTTTTAGTAATAATGAACCTAGTGAACTGATACCCTTAGGAATTAGTTTACTACATACTTATTAGTTTTATATACGTGTTAAACTACTGTACTTTTCAAGGATAACCAGGCTTTCAGGAAACTTCACTTTACATTGCAAGTATGGTAGATACTTGTACACCTCATTCCGGATCGATAACCAACTACCAACTTTTAAGGAAAATAAGGGTTTTTCCACGGATAACTTAACTTTTCATAATCAAGTTGTTTAACAAATAGATAACTAAACTTCTTTTATAAGAAAATATGGGATTTTCTTGGATAACAATTTTTCATAACACCAAAGGAAACTTATTCTTTACCAGAAACAAACCGCTTATGAACTCACTAACTTTATGCTGATATTTTTAAAACTGCTTGTATTCTCAGGTTCTCGTTAGACACGTATTTCGCTTTCTTTTGGAGAAGATGGAGTGTATAGAAGTCTCGTCTTTACTTTTTGTTACGCTGATGTATAAATAAAACATGTATTACTTTTCTTTCAAACAAATGTAAATATTCCTATGTAATGTAATGGTTGTGTTTACTATGCTTGCTATGTACATTGGTTGTGATACTTTACATGACGTCCTCCGCCCCGGAACGTTTCCGCCATCGGTTTCGCGGTGTGACATCAGGTCTCTTTGAGTTGTGTGTATATTCATTACAAAAGGATCATTGCCTTTAAGTTTAGAATCTAATAGATTATAGTAGATCGCAAGAATTTGGTATTCCTACACTTATGATACGGATTTGGAATTCTGAAATGAGTGTCATTGGAAATGTTTACAATTGATCTATTTCACAAAGTAACGACCATAGGTAAACATAGAGTGCATGCTTGGAGCACAGGATAACTATTGTTTTAATTCAAGTATTAAGTTGATTAGTCGAAACATTATACAATGAATAATGCGTAATCAATATGGTGATTAAATAGTTAGTGTTTTATTTATATTCAAAACTTTGAAACCATATTGGATTCGATGATTCTTCTATTTCACTTCACATGTTTTACTTCCCAAATAACTATGTTATTCAAACATCCACATTCAATCATACATTGGAAGTAAGTAGTGAGGTAAGACTGTCATGAACCTGACTGTAGATTGTCTAAGTGTTTAGACATAGCACAAGTTTGTTGTAGTGTTCATGATTACTCCTGTAATAGGATTTCAGTATTGGATTAAACCCATTCTCACGTGAATCACTTCATGGATTTTATCACGAGTGATTGTGAGACGATAATATCTTATATTCTTGAAACCAAGACATGAGAATTGTAGTTTACAAGTCAGATGCACATTGATGATATTTAAACGCACTAGTAACTTAGTGTTATAGAATGTATTGTTGTGTGTGATTTGATGAGTAAATTGAGCAACCATATGAGTCGAAGTTTATCTGTTCCTTTTACCCAATGTGGGATAAAATCAATATTTGTGGGCCCCTCGAAGATTTAGTGATGACACCCCTAAGAGCTTGGCCAATCCTGGACTAATCTGATGTGTACAATTGTAGTTTGTTGTCAGTTATCATAAATTGCAAATTAGGAAACAACACACTAACAGAGAAAATGATTATAATCCATGTCTCAGTCCATACGGTATCTCGTAAAATGGAGGAATATTTAATCCATCATCTAATGGACGTGTCAGAGTTCGACAACGGTTTTTGAATGTTAGGATTGCTAATCAGATTATGAAGCTACATTGGTAGTTATAGTTATTAGACTTATCCAAGTAGGAGACTATTGGATAAGGTGTCTAAGCCCATAACTATAATTGGTATGTACTTGACCCGACAGTAGCATGGTCCATTTTGGGTGCCTTCACCAGAGCAATTTGATAGGATCGATATTTGAGAAAGACGTTATTTGTGATTTATTTATATATTATAAGAATAATATATTAATTGAGAAATCATAGTATTTAGTTAGTATTGATCAAGAATTAATTTGAAATCCATTTAGTGATCAAAAGAGACTGATTAAATTAACGGGGACCGATTAAGTCAATCAAGTATACTTAGAGTTTGGGCTAATGGTCCATGTTGATTAGGAATAGTCTGAATCTATGTGAGAGTCCATGAAGAGTTAGTCCATAGGGCCTATTATATGGATTATTGGCTTTACTTTTGGTGTTTAGAAGTTGAAAACCTTAAGAATTCCACAATATAAAAGTAACCCCGAGCATGCAAAAATCATCCACTCTATTCCAAGGTGAACCCTAGATGATTTTTGTTCCTCGTAGCCTCTCTCTCAAAATCCTCCATTTACTTTTCGTGTTTGTGAACCATTTGAGGAATCACACTTGAGGTGCTAAGCTCTTGAAAGGTCAAGTTCTACAAGATACAAAAAGAGGTATTCATCTAACTAGTTTTTATGTTGCAAATCTCTATATTGTATGCTTGTTAGGCTTCATGCTTTGGAAAATGAAACTTGCATGTATAACTACAGAAAACCACTACTAGAAAAACAGCCTTTTACGACGATCATTGCGCGTCGTAAAAGGGTCAGACGACGCGCAAATGTGTGTCAAGGAAGGCCCTGTCATAAAGAGAGACGACGCGCAATTACGACGCGCATTTACGACACGCAATGCGTATCAAGGAAGACCCTGTCATAAAGGAAGACGACATGCATTCGCGTGTTGTAACCTTACGACGCGCGTGTTAACGACACACAATGTGTATCAAGAAATCCCCTGTCAAGAAAGGCCATGTCATAAATGAAGATGATACACATTTTTGCGTATCATAATTTTAAATGTTTAAAAAAAATATATTTATAGATTTACTTATTTTCAAATTAAATTTGTATTTAATTTTTCATAATAGAAAATAAAATATCATATACTAAAAATAGAATCCATTGCATAAATTTAATATCATACAATTCTATTTCTTACAATATATAAATTTGCATTCATCTAATCTACTGTGTTTCATACAAAAAATCTATTTCATGAGGCTTCTTCCATTTCCTTTGTTAGCTACTTCCATCATTAGTATATCTACAAAAAACTTGCGTTCCCTCAACAGCTCATCCACATCACCAAATATATCATGAGCTTCCTGTATTGCTCATGGAACTCACAAGCACTAACAATAACATGTTTAGAAAATATAACCTGTAAAAAAAATATAGCAAGATATGATTGAAACATTGTTACAAGTATCTAAAACTTTTAAGTGTCCAAATAGTTATTTTTATATCCAGAACCTTCTGTGTTGTTTACACAACAAAAAGGAGGGTAATTGTTTTTACTTTTACCTTATCAAAACCCATTGCCACAAGCTTTTGGATCTCTTCATCTGATACAACACTTACTGTTGCAGTGGCATCTGTATTTATCCTTCCCTGCCTAAAATACAAACTAACTTTTAAAATACAAACCTAATGTGCCTTACTTTTTTCATTTACCCATAATACTAACTTCTTCTGACACCTAAATTAACCTTTCAATTTCCAAACAAGAGGATTATATTTGTAAATTTGAACCAAAAAAACTGTCAGATACTAAAAAGATAGAATAAAATAAAGATGATATTAATAAACTGAAAGTATATGTGTTTATATGGATAGTATATGTGTTTAACCTCTTTCAAGACGTGATAAACTGACTGATAAACAAGTGGTGCATGCGGTCTCCAAAATGCATATGTTTGGTTGTTGTGGGTACCTACAACACTCAAAATTTTAAATTTAATTGACTGATAAACAAGTATTCTTCTCAGAATCAACAAAAAAGTCGACAAGATCTTTACTTTGAAATGTGTCAAGCTTGTCAAAATCGGAGCAGGAAACCATCATTTTCCTGGATGTCATCCTCAGGAACCTTAATATATCCTCCTCAACTGCTAAGAATAGTTGTAATGTGCTGAAAGAAAAATTCATGAATATATCTGAAACTGCAACATAGATATTTTTCTTCCCAGAGGCAGTTGAGAACTTGATAGAAGTATCAAATGGCTCTAAAATTCTGATCTCATTGCTCTCCATAGTTAAACCAAGAGCATTTGCACTCATTTCTATTGTATCGCCCTTCAGCACGAGCCTATAGACAGCAGATAAACATGAAAGATTTTTTTAATAAGTTGATCGTTTAAAAAGTAAATCATAAACCTAGAACAAAACCCTCAATCTCCAGCTTATAAACATGAAATAGAACAAAAAGTTATGCATAAAAGAATCATTCTATCTCTCTCTCAAAATATGCAATGATTCCTCTCACCCAACCATAAGAATTAGCCTACTCCTTTCATATTTCTCTCAGAAAGTACTGGCCTCTTTCCTTCAGTTTAGAATATATAGGATATAGGTTTCCGGGCAGCCAGGTTTTGGACCCATCCACCACATACAAACTAACACACACAAAATGGAGTGAGAAAATAGTGCTTATTCATTTTATTAAACAAAAATTGAAGATTTGTTAATCAAAAAGAGAAGATTTATGTTTAGCCGTATTTAGAAGACATACATTCATTTAGGGATAGAAAATAAGAACAAAAATGATAAATAGACTATTGCAAAATCATGTTTGAGTTTCAGTACCTATATGCCAGAGAAAGGAACAAATTTATAAGCATTTTTCTGATAAGCCCCAAGTAATCCTAGAGGGATTTTAGTTGATCTTCTTTATAGTTGTTATTCTGCTATCTTTTTGGCTTTAGGATAGAATGGTCTTTTTAGGAGTTATGATTGTTATTGGTTGTTTTGTTTGTGGGAGCACTGACATCGTCCTAGGTCTGTTTTGGGACCACTCCCCTGAGTCTTGTTTTCTATTTATTTTCTTCTTGAGGTTTTTCTTGAGCAACTAAGAATTATATTATTAAGAACTTTGTTCTTCTTGGAGAGTCCATTCCTCTCGAATGAATGGGAAAACCCTAATATATCTTATGAGTTCATTGTTTGATTATCAATGGAATCTGTGTCTTATTCAATAAAGAATCAGGGCCTATCATTTTCCAATACCCAAATCATCCAATAACATGCAACACTAGCTTTAGTATGAAAAGAACCAAATACAAATTTAAGGCACCCATGAAATTTAATCAACAAAATTCATGAAGGCAAGAAAGAGAGACTTGCAGAAGGCATCCAATCTTGCATGCAAAAACTTGTTTGTGAAGAGAGGAGACTCTCTTACATATTTTGATGAATTATAGAATGTAAGCTCGGGGCCTATAACCTGCAAAAAAATTATGTATAAGAACAGACATACTAGCAAATAAGACAGTAGACAAGTAAGATGAAAAATATTGGCATGTCACAGAAGCACCCCTACTGTTATTAGCTTCACGAACAAGGTTATCGTGAGTGTTAAACAGAATAACAGAATTGTTTTAGTACTACAGTAGTTAGTCCTATTATTAAGGGTCGATCTATAAATTGCAGTGCTGAGGGCAGAAAAATGATTTTAGACTATTTAGCTTAGAAGCTTTGAAGTGTTTAAGAAAAAATGTTAAGGAGATAAAAGTAATTACTACAAAAATGATATGAACTGACATCAAAAAAATGTAAATGATTATAGTTAAATTTCTTGATACTATTTGTTTGTGCTAATGCAGTATAAATTTGCATCAATAGCAAATTAATCGCAATAAGAGAAGACCATCCACATATCTTCGAAAATAATATCATTGAAGAGACAAATAAGAGTTGACTGTCAGATATTAAGTTATATTATTACAAGGTGTACACAAAATAATATCATACTCCGTCCTCCCAAGATAATGTAATGTGAAACATGACACATGGTTGAAAAAGAGACTTCAGGGGACGAAATAAATGTAATAGATATCTTCTCAAGATTGCACATGAGCTAAGATGTAAATTTAAACTAAAATAAGAGAGAAAATGTTGCATTTTTGGGACTGGGGAGAAAAAAAAGGGATATTTGTAATGACAGATTATATAAAGAGACCAACGATAATTCTAAATCGGCGTCATAATAGCAAACTTGGAGGGAAGAACATTAACATTGATGGAAGTATTGTCTTAAGTTCTCTCTTATTTTTCGATGGCTTACAATTCACTAACTGAGATGATTTTTTTCTTTAGATGATACGAAAAAAATTATGTTAGAAGGAAGAACGAATGTAATGTCAAGTTCAAGTGTTGTTTGCTCGGGAAGCAAAAGGTTTATAGACCCAGGTTTGGTAATGATATAATCATTGAAAAATTAACCTTATGCTATGCTATGGACTGCTATCAGAAAAATACATTCACTTGCAACTCGATGGAAGTTTTTGTGGGTCTGCTCATTGTATTGTTTGGAGAAGGCAAATCTTTTGTAGTTTCCTCTTGATTATTTGGTGAGCTACTTTCCTCCTCTTCCAAAAAGACTTGATCATCTTCCAAAGCTGAGAAACTGCTGGTCGACCCTAGGGAAACACATAAGTCCAGATATTCTCCATTCTGCATGAATAAATTTGATTTTCATAAGTTCGGAAGAAGAAAAACAATCAAACCGACATCAAAAGCGAAAACACACCTTGATGGTGACATTTTTGAATTGCAATCGTTTACCACTGTCAACGTGTATAATAGTTTCTATGCTTGTAGAAGAGATCATGTGTCCTTCTTTGTCTTGTAACAACAAAGTTCCACCTCTACCACCAAAGGCCTTTGAGGAGAGAGCATCAACACCTCATAGCTTTGACTAAAAACTTGTTTTATCCAAAACAAGTGCATCAACTACATATAATGATGTTTCATCCACTTCACTTGATAGCATTCCACGTACAGTAGGTACAACAAAACTCAGCAACTGCCATTAGGAAGTCAAGTCCAACAAGTGATTGTGGCCTTCGGATACATAATGACAATGAGGTTGAATACTGACTAAATTTAGCATCATGGATTAACATTGTGGGAACTCATAATCTCTCATCTCACATCGTCTGCCTTCACCATTTGGTTCTCCTCATTGTGCACCTCATAATCTGGACTGTATCTCAGACTCTTGGGCTGCCACACAGCTAGCCTAAGCTCTTCTTCTGTCCCTCACGGACATCATCCATAGTGAATCCCTTTAGGCTCGCTGATAGAAGACCTTCTCCCTGTGTATTAGCTTTGTAAAGCATCCATAGCCCACTCTCCTGAAACAAAGAACCACATAAGCGAACAAGTAAGAGTTTGTTTCTTTTTTTCTCCATTAAGTCATGTAAGGATGAAGTGGCTTAATGAGTAATGATGTTTTTCACTCTGGATCAACTGATCAAGTGATGTATACATAAGGTTTGTTTCTTTTCTAAACTTACTAAACCTTCTAAGGTATCCAAATTCTCTTTAGAAGCATCAAGCTCGAGGCACAATTCGAATTGAATTCCAATTCCAGCCAACTCCTATGAAATCCAACAAACCAATATTCATAAGAAGGAAAATTACTGAGAATTCATTCCAAACTAACTAACTAGAATGAGGAACCTGATTAATCTATTGTTCTATTTTAGTGAATGAAGAGGTTTATTACATCATCATACATACGAGAGTAAACACCAACACCCTCTTTATATTGAGTATTGACCACTTGTTTTTAACATTTCAACCCACAAAAACCACACCATGTGGCATTTCCCCTTTCCCTGATGACCTAATTCTCTAAATAAAAGCACATTTTTTTAAATAAATAAAATAATCAATCAAATAACAAGAATCTTGTAATGAATTACCAGGTATACTTTGTTACATAATCCTAGAACACTACAAAATATAATAGGTCTCAATTATTCCATGTCAACAACCTACAAAGAGATGCAAAAAGATATTGTTCATTACTGGAAACAGAAATAAGAAATTAAACAAGGAAATAGTTCTCTAACCTGCCTGCCTACAACAATATCTATAGAACCGATGAGCCTGCTGCAGGAAAAGGTGCTAAGAACTCCTACATATACAAAATACTCAAATCATCAGATAAATACATAAGAGATATATCTAAGTTGTAATAGGTATGAAGTTGCTATATATCTATAGTCTTTGTCCTTCCCAATTATCTGCAAATTCAACCATGAACACCTCAATAAATGCTAAATATGGTATAAATATAACCCAAAGAAAAATCTCCACAAATAAAGGATAGAACTCCATAGCTTCTTACCTTCTCTAGGATACTAGATATGGATGAATTTTCCATCTTTACACAAGTGTATAACAATCATATATTACCTGTGGAAATACATATACATGAAACAAATAGAAAGTTAGAAGCCACATGGATAATGTTTTTTGCATGTATCAAACAAATAGAAATTCAGAAGCCACATGGATAATGTTTCTTGCCCTTTAGAATTCATGTACATTCCAGTTTTCTATTATGTTGCTCCTTCATTCCAAACAGAATTACAATTTTTCTATAGGAAAAAGAATCTTTTGAACTACAGATTTGTCAATCTGTCTTGATAATTTTATGGTAAGCGATAAGTAACCGTAAATTTCCAATTTATTTGTGTTTTGAACCAATTTGTCAAAATTAAGTACTATTCAGAGAATACAAGTCAACATGAGGGGGAGAATCACCAAATCAAGGAAAAAATCGACATAACCAAGCAAAAATTCGAAAAGTAGAAAAGAGAATTTAACAATATATATGTTTATATAGTGAATAATGCCAATTTGAGAGAGACGTGGTTTGAAGTTTCATAAAATATCATGTTTGAAAGCCCTATGTCAGCTCTTTGGACTGTGGTCTCGATTACTGTAGGTAGAATCACATATTTGTGGGTGCGATCGAGCCCACTAAGTTTTAGATGATATTATCATACCTTTAACACAAGTAAGACGACGTTATTGAGAGGGAGTCTTGTTGCGCGAGATAGATCATAAAGAAGATCTGATGCTCATTAAACCAGACCTAGGGCTTGTAAATTTGAGCATATGTGACAGTCTCTGTCGAGGTAAGGTTATCCTAAGCTCGCCGGCTAAAAGAGATGTGTAACATCCCGGAATCGCAAGAGTAGAGTTGAAGGGTTAAAAGTGTAAGTTTTGGAGGGCGACTCGGTGAGTCACATGGATGGACTCGGCGAGTCAGGTCGCGACTTTGGTCGCGTGTCAAATGGCCTACTCGACGAGTCCAAAGATGGACTCAGCGAGTAGGTGTTGGGCGAAGAAAAACCCTAAATCCGGGGAATAAGCCCTATATAAAGATCATTATGTTCCTCCATAGCCTCCTTGATCCCCCCTTGATTCCTAGAAACCCTAATTCCATGGAGGAACCCCATTGTTGAGAAAATTAGAGCTTGGAGAGGTGTGGGTTGAAGAAATCTTTAAGGAGAAGAGGCTTGGATCAAAGGGCTTTGCTTGGATTCGAGTTTCATTGTTGTTGAGGCATTCTTTGGAGGTAATACTTCCGTTCTTGGGCTGTGTTCTCCTAGATTCTCATTTTAGGGTTTTGTGGGAAGCTTAGTTGTGTGACATCTTGAGTTTGAAGGATGGATCTGAGGTTGCTACCTCAGATCTGGAGTGGAGAAGATCTTAAGAGCATTAAAGCCCCTGTTCTTGTGTTGTTAATGGAGCTATCATGTCCCAAACCTTAGTTCTAAGATGAATAAGGCCTAGATCTCTTTGGATTCACGTAAAGTTTGCCACTTTACGTGATGGATGGATTATAGGAGGTTGGATCTATGTTTTGGATCAATTGCATGGCCTAAGATGCTTATGTATGGATTCAGACCGGTGGTACTCAACGAGTCACAAGGGTGGACTCGACGAGTTGCTTGAAGATGGCCTGGAACTCGGCGAGTTGGAAGAACAACTCGGTGAGTAGGTTGAAGATAGCCTTAGACTCGGCGAGTCTGTTCTTGGACTCGGCGAGTCTTGTCGAAGAGTCCCAATATTTTATGGTTGAGTCGAAGAATCGGCGAGTCAAGGGATGACTCGGTGAGTTGGGTGCGAGTGGACTCAGAGTTGTTGGACTCAGCGAGTCTTGGGGTGACTCGGCGAATTGGGTCGCTGATTGAGGGAAGTTCTGAGCATAAGGACTCGGCGAGTCATCGGGTTGACTCGGCAAGTAGGGTTAGTCAGGGGTTGACTTTGACTTGTCCAAGGTTGACCAGTTGTCTTCCAGGGGTATTTTGGTAATTAAGGGTATTTATTGAGTTGAATATTTTGATGTTCAGTGGAGGAGTTTGTGTCAGAGTTCGGAGCAGCGGGATCTTATCCTTTCAGCCGGCACTTTCGAGGTGAGTTATCCTCACTATATCAACATGGTCTAAGGCACCAAGGCCGGCCCTTTATTGGATTGAGATTCGGATATGGTTATTATGTTATTGTTTGATGTGTCTGCATCCTGGTAGCTAGGATGGTACATGCTAGGAGACCTAGTTAAGGTCAGATTCCCGATATATAGAGTAATGCTCTGCTAGTGACCGGTTAGGTCGGTAACCTGGTTAGGGTAATGATATGCTATGTGATCTGCTTGCTCGGTTTGTTGACTATGATTGTTATATGATTGTATGTTTTGTGCACATGGTTGCTTGGACTGGAGATGGGTTGAGGCGGGTCCTACTTCGTGCTGTAGACCAAGATACCCAGGGCGGACCGGTTATTCCGAAGGCCCAGCGAGCGGTCCAGATAGGCTGTAGGCCCCACGAGGGCGGACCAGACGTGGTGAGGCTCGGAGAGTGGACCAGGCCGACTGAAGGCCCGATGCGGGCGGACCAGTCACACTGTAGACTCAGAGAGTGGACCGGGTGGGTTGAAGGCCCGATGCGGGTGGACCAACCCCACTGTAGACTCGTAGGACATGACTAGACCTGGAGGATGGATCCGGTGGACTGAAGGCCCGATACAGCGGACCAGTCACACAGTAGACCCGATATGCATGGCTGTTCTATGTTCTGTTATGTTATATATGTTTTATATGTTATGGGCCGGAAGGCAATATGTTTTGGACCGGAAGGTCGTAGCCTGGAAAGGCGTATATATGGTTGGTGTTTTGGGGGTATCTCACTAAGCTTTCGGGCTTACAGTTGTGGTTTAATGTTTTTCAGGTTCTTCAAGAGACTGTGGCAAGGCGAAGGCGTGATCGTACCGCTCCTCATGATTTTGTAGCAATGTGATTCTGGGAATACTATAAATGAGTTGTATTGAAAACCTTTTTGTAGAAAATTTAATGAAATCGAGTTGTTTTTGAAAAAAATTAAATTGGTTGTATTTTTCGGTCGTTACAAGATGAGTCGAGATCGTTGGCAGATGAGGTGAGCCAAGGTAGCGAGCGTTGTAGAGAGCACTCCCATCCTGAAAAGAACGTATGAGCAAGGAGAACTAGCCCTAGAGCTGATGATTCTGAAAGAGGGTTTACTTGTGTTGAAGCGATTGGTGTGAATCGATTGGTATGATTACCTGAGATTGAGAGTGTTTTCTCTTTCTTAAATAGGTGATGATGTGATGATGGTGGCTTGGAAATGAGTTATGATCACCATCATCGTCGATGTGATTGTCGATTTGATTCATTCAATTGTTGGGTTCCATTAAGTAGTGGTTTGAGGTTGGAAATGGAAATGGAAAGAGCGCCACCAAGGAGATTAGGGAGCGAAAGAAGAGAGAATCAGAGAAGTTCGAAGTGTGGATTGA